AAAAGCATCTAAAGCTCCAACACCGCCGAGACCGGCCTTCTTCCAATCCGCAATCTCCCGTTGGATATCGTCTGTAAGCCGCAGGAGGGATCTCTGTCGCGATCTGTTGTTGAAGACTCGTGCATTGCGTTGCTTCCAGAGTGCCCATGCGATGAGAATCACGACCAAGTCCACGGATCTCTTGGCCTTCCCTCTGAATCTACTCCTTTGCTGAAGCCACCATTGCAAGAATGTGACGTTTGCGTCCGGCGTGTGGATGGTGATTCTCCATGAGCTGAAACAAGAGTGCCACACCTCGCGGGCGTAGACGCACTGCACGAGAATGTGATCCGCATTATCCTCATCTTGGAGACAAGTATAGCAAGGGGATGGGGCGTCTTGAAGGCCATGTCGGGCACGACGGTCCGAAGTCCATAGCCGGTATTGACAGGCCAACCACATGAAGATTTTGCATTTGAGTGGGGCCAGCTTTGCCAAATGCAGCCGGCAGTCGGGGCGTGCGTGTATCCAATGCAGAGTCTCTTATAGGTAGAGCTGGCTGTGTATTTGCCCGACGCGTCGCAGGGCCAGTCGAAATGATCCGGTTCGTCAATGTTCCTCTCCACCGAACTAATGGCTTGAGTTAGCAGGTAAACTTGCATGTGGCCCATGAACGAGAGTCACCATGGATATCGTTCGCCCAGGCGTTATCAGGGAGTGCCTCTTGCATCGTTCTTCTGTTCTTGTCTCGAGTGCTGACAAGTTGAAGGAGCAGTGGGGCAATGTCTTTTATCGCCACTCCATGAATCCAACGATATTTCCAGAACATGATTTTTGATCCCTCTCCGACGGTGATCTTAACCAAGCTATCAAAGACAGCGTGCGCTTGCTCATCAACCATTAGGTGGAGCCCTTGCCATGGCCTCTTCGGATCCGTTCTCCTAAGCCATTCCCACCGCACACGGAGTGCGAGAGCTTGCACAGCCAAAATTTTTACTCCCAGACCACCAAAGCTCGTCGGCCTGCAAACCGTTTCCCAAGCAACGAGGCACTGCCCTCCATGACTTTTCTCACCAGCCCAAAAGAAGGATCGCATCCACTTGTTGATATCTTCCAAAACCCAGGCAGGAGGGTCAAGCACCAAAAGCAGATGAACTGGCCTAGCCGCGATCACCGTTTTGACAAGGACCAGTCTGCCCGGCCTTTGAATGAAGCCACGCTGCCAGGCCGGGATAAAGTGCCAGACCTGGTCCAGGAGGGGTTGCCAGTCTGCACGGGAGAGTTGATGAATCGCTAGCTGCAGTCCTAGGTAACAGCAAGGAAATTTAGCAATCTTGCATTGCAGCACTGTCTCCATTCTTTGTCGATCGATCTCATTTTGCCTGATGAGGATCGCCTGTGATTTGGTGTAGTTGATCTTGAGGCCAGACGCCTCACCGAAGATGTCGAGGGCGGCTTTAACAAATGTGAGATCTTGAAGCGACGGTCTCAAGAACAGGGCAAGATCATCAGCTTATAACGAGAGCCTCTGATTCACCGCGATGCCTCTGAACGAGCTCAACACTCCGACATCCGCGGCTTTCTTCATGGCATAGGTGAGGGAGTCCATGGCAATTGCGAAGAGCAGCGGCGAGACCGGATCGCCCTGCCTAAGACCTTCAGCGTGGAGGAACCGCCTGCCTGGTACTCCATTGACAATCACACGGGTATTGGCTGATTGGAGAAGCAGCGAAATCCACGTAATCCATCTCTGGCCGAAGCCCTTAGCTCTCAAAACCTCCATGAGGAAAGGCCAGGACAATGAATCAAACACTTTTGATATGTCGAGCTTGAGGAAGAGTCCCTTCTCCTTTCGGCCGCGCAGCTTGCGTGCCACTTGTCTAACGAGCAGAAAGTTGTCGTGAATGTTCCTCCCTTTGATGAAAGCGGACTGATTGATCTTGATGATTTCCAACATGCAGGGGCGAGCTCTCAAGGCAAGCAGTTTGTCAAAGAGCTTGGTGAAACTGTGCGAGAGACTAATAGGACGGTAATCTCCCACTTCCATGGCCTCTGGCTTCTTGGGGATTAGAATGATGTGTGCGCCATTAAGTTTGTAAAAACCTCTCCCGTTTCCAACAAACAGCTTCATGAGGGCAGCCATAATATCACCTTTAATAACTGGCCAGGCGATGTGGTAGAACACTCCGATGAACCCATCCGGGCCAGGTGCTCTGTCCGCCGGAATCTCGTTGATCACCTTCCAAACTTCCTGTTCTGTGAAAATGAGCTCTAGCTCATGCAGGTCATGACTTAGCATTTGCAGGTAGCTTAGATCCAGTGAGCCTCTTCTTGCGCCGGCCTTGCCAAGCAGGTTTCCAAAGGCCTCCGAGAACACCTCTTCTTTCCTAGATTGCTCGGTGATGAGTGCATCGCCCCGCTTGATGCAGGGGATGAAGTTCTTGGTTCGTCTCCCATTCGCCACCGCTTGGAAAATTTTGCTGTTAGCATCTCCATCCTCCAGCCAACGAATCCTAGACCTCTGTCTGTCGATTGTGCGCTCTAGGGAGGCCAGCCCTAGCAGCGCAAACTTAAGAGTTCGGCGCAGCCAAAGCTCCATCGGGGCTAGAATCCTGAGCTCTTGAGCTCTGTCCAACCGGGCGATCACCCAATTAGCAATCCTCATGCGCATTTTTATGTTTCCAGTTTTCTTCTGCCCCCACGATTGCAAGTAAGCTGCCGTGTTCCTGAAAAGCGCGTCCAACCTCTTAAACGGGTCGAAGATAGCATTGCTACAGACCCAAGCTTCCTGAATCGCCTCATGGAAACTGTCAAGTTTTGTCCAGTAGAGCTCAAAGTGAAAGCGATGCTTAGCTTGAAAGTTGTTGCTCGTGGAGAGATGTAAAGGAGCGTGATCCGAAGCGCTAGTAGATAGCGCTTGAAGCAGGTAGTCTGGGTGAGAGAGCTCCCAATCAACGAAAACGAGCAACCTATCAATCTTGGTGAATGTTGGCACATTTATCTCGTTAAACCAAGTAAAACGGCGTCCGTGCATGTAAAGCTCCTTGAGCTCATGGTCATCGACGAAATTTTGGAACTTGCTCATCATTGCTCTGTTGATGTTGTTATTACTCTTCTCCGCTCCCCTAAGGATCATGTTCAAATCACCGAGGCACATCCAAGGCCCTGGGCAAAGCAGCCTTCTATCATAAAGATCTTGCAGGAATTGAGTTTTCGGCATGTCTCCTTGTGGCGCGTATACCACCGAGATCCGCCACTCATTGCCATCCAACTGGTGAACTTTGCCAGTCAGGAAGTTGGTGTCGAATTGGATGTTATCCACATACAACCGCCCATGCCAATAAGATACCTCCATGCGTTTCCTCAGCCGGCAAGTAAGCAAAGCCATCAAGGGATGGTCCTAAACATTGCATAACCATGAATTGATCTACAAGCTCAAGCTTAGTTTCTTGCAAGCAAACTAGGTTAACTCTTAAAGATGAAAGGAACTCCCTAACTACATTCCTCTTGGCCGGGTTGTTCAACCCTCTCACATTCCAGCAAATAATCTCCGGGTTGTGATCCATGGAAACGAATCAACCACACCCACACCCGGCGACATGCTCATAGCACGCCGATCGCTACCTCAGTCCGACGTGAAAGCTCCTCATTGGTTGGGACACACTTGCCGAATAACGCCGCTACGACCCTCACGTGTTGCTCTCTAAGTGGAGAGTCGAACAACTCTTGGAGTTCCTTGACTGCCTCGTCGTCCACCGTTATATCTTCAGGCACTAACCCAAGTGCACGCAGCAGCACACTCTCCACCTTATTGGACTTGGTGGTATTTGCTCCGGCAGATCTCTTGGTAGATCTAGTAGTGCGCTTGGGGGTAAATGGCTCCGCCTCAGGCCGAAGTGCCGA